TTTAAAAAAAACCCACTAGGTAAGCAGGAGAACTTGGTGAAGAACTTTATTTCCTGATCAGGACACAAAACACATTTGAAATGTTACTGCTAAGATGTGTTACTCACTAGCAGCAAAAGAAAATTGTGTCTTATGGAAAACACAGAGGGTTTCAGCCATAGCCTGGCTTTGCTCTGACCACACACCTGCCCAGGCATTGCTGATACTGTTGGCAGCTGTCACACCTTCCAAGAGATCTGGCGAACACCATGACAGGCATATCGCTGGCAATGAACTGGAACGTGCAGAAAAGCAAAGCACAATGCTAATTATCTCTTAGCACAACTTCTATCTCAGGAAAATAAGACAAAAAATTACGGCAAATAGAATATTTCAAGCTAGCAAGTGGGAAAATGAAGCCTCAAGTATCTATCAAACATAACAATTAAGACCCTGGAAGTATAGACTTTTCTTGAGAGGCAAACTTTGCCCTGAAGGTCACAGTTTTTGCACAGAACACAACATTCTCCAGATCTCATTTCTTCCATGCAAAATTAGTTTAAACTAGAATTTTTAAAAAGAATTAATATATAAACATCACAGATCCTCTCAGCATCTATTTTTTTCCTGGAAGCACAAAACCTGAAAATCACTGAATCCAAGAAGGGATATACATTCCACCATGTAATGAAACATGTTTGGAAATTACTCAAGAAATTATTTTCTGCAGAGATCTACACCAAAAGAAAAAGCACAACATTCCTTCCAGCTGCAAAGTAGGCTTTCAAATTTTTCTTTAGGCTTGTTTTGAGTAAGTTTTAGTGGTATTATTGGAACAAATATTATCTTGACTTTTAATATAATGGCATGTGCAAAAGAGATCTGGCAAAACTTGGAAAGCTCTATTCATGCCTTACTCTAGCACACACTGACAAAATGACATTGAGAAAGTCATTTCACTTGTCTTTGTCTTTTCTTCCTAAATGCAGTCTGAGGATAATGAGTTATGCTTCATATCAAAATATATTTAGCAAAGAAGAGCTAATAAGTAGTAAATTAACTATTATGGAGTCTAACAAGTCATTAATTTGCTTATATACGTGGTTTGCAAACTGTCCACAATACCCCTGTTTTACAAGTTCACCAAAATCTGTAATGTGTACTGTTATGTTTATGTCATGACTGCATTAATGATCAATTAATACACATTCTAGAGTACTGTAAATGTTTATGACAGACTGTAGAATCCATTAACTATCCACTGTAATGCACACCTGTGACATAAAGGATGATTTTGTTCTCAAGGTATGTTGAGACCTATGAGGAAAATCCACTGGAGTTCTGAATCTTAGCAAAAGTGTTATTGTGTCTACAGCATACCAAGCATTTACTGTACAGTCCTATAGAGAAGTGAAATTAATTTCAGAGTAAAGACTGTGATTGCAATTCTTCAAACAACTAGAGTAGCAGAAATTAGTGCTTGTCTGGTTTGAGTACCAGATAGCTGCTGGTTTAGTTCTGTTGCTCTAAGGATCTGAAACCTGTGTGAAATAAACAAATATCTGATGAGGAACCAAATCCTGCAGTATTGGTGCTTGATTTGTTTCCCTTCTCCCTGGTTCCTCACACCCCACTCTTTCCATGATCTTTGCCTTCTCCAGTACCTCAGAGTGGCCACTAGTGAGCCCAATGAAGCACGGAAAATTGAAAAAAACATATTAACCTTAGGTAAGTTGCCTTCACCAGGGCAATTTTTGATGTGGTAGAAGACATTCAGTTAACATACACAATTCATTATTAGTTCAGTCAACAGGAATGTCAAAAGTATAACATGCCTGTCCACACACATGCACAAGACGAAACCAGTCACTGCAGACCAGGGAGACTCTGTCTGTCTTGGTTAACCTCACCTGTGGGCTATTTCTCCACATCTCTCACGTGCTCTCTTGCTGCAACTTACTTCTGTACTCCTCTAGTTCCCACCCACCATCCCCCCCCACCTCCCCCAGTCTGGTTTCCTCTCTCCCTTTTTATTTCTTCAGCTGCTGCTTCTTGTTTCTTAAACAATCTACCTGAGGCAATGAGCCCTACCCCCCACTCTGCCTCCTTGGTGCTGTTTTCCACACCTACACCTCTCTATTCCCACTCTCTAGACTTTACCATTGCTCAACTGGCCCTTCTTATATTCCTGTTCTATCCTTCTACCTGGTCCACTCCCCTTTCTTCTCCTCAGTTGTTGCAGCTGGGAGATACACATTAAATATTTCCACACACCTATTAAATCCCCGTGTCCACACATTCTGGATGCCCTTGCCTGACTCTCTGCAGAATCAGTCTCTTACAGAGACCTCCATTCTCTCCATCCCATCCCACCCCTTACTCTCACACTGAGGCTACCCTCACCATCCCCATCACATTTTGTCTGCCTTTGAGAAGTATCTCAGCTCTTTTCTGCTCTGAAGAACTGCCAGCCAGTTAGCCAGCTCCTCCTGAACAGCTTTCTGTGATTTCAACTGACTTTCTTCCCTTCTTCACAATTTCTCACACTCATCCTCAGGAAGCTTCCAAGCTTCCATGTCCTTGGTGGCACTCTGTAGCAGTCACCTGTATGTCTCCTTGCCTTGGCCCACTCATTTCCCCTGTACCTCTCACTTCGTGTTCTACTCCCTGAAAGAGCCATTCTTTTCACATGGTCTGCAGCAAGAATTGCTTTTCCCTGACCTCTGTTATCCCATCCTTCCTCTCTGATCTTTTCCCTTGCTTGCCATGTCCTTCCTCATATCCTCTCACTTGCCCTTTCCATTATTTTCATCTCATCAGATTGAGAATATCCCATCCAATCTCAGCCCCCTTCCTCCTTCTTTATCTTTCTTTTCTAGCACAAACTGATTGTAGATTTGCTCTGTTTCTTACTCTCCACTCCTATCTTATGAATTATGAAGTATGATTGCCAAACACATAACTCTGCCCAGCTTCAAATTCCTGGCTGATCTGTGACCAGGTTTACTTCATCCACAACCATTTAACTGTCTTCCATTCCAGTTGTGCCATTCTTATAGATTTTCTTCCTACTTTTCCAAGTTAAATGAAGCACTTTTCAAGAGCTCTCTTCCTGAACATCCTCGGCACAAATCCTTGCCAAAGGAAATATTAATAGGCTCACTTCCTACAAGTTTATTCTCTGTGTCACAGGTTGGGTGTTTTTTCCCTCCTACTTCTATGCCCCATGCTTGTCCTGTTACAACAGAAACTGCTGGTCCGTTTCTAATGCTAATTTTTATCCATTTCCTTGGTTTTTTTCCGAAATACTGACCCTCCTCCAACTCCTCATCCTCACATTACAGACATGCTCTAATAAACAAACACACCTTATGTTGACTCTTACTGCTATTTCCAGCACTAACACTTCTCAATGTGCTGCTAACACTTACTGTCCAATTTTCCCTCTCTCCAGCTCATTATAAGCTCTTAAGACAGGTAATACCAACACCCAGATAAAATAACCCTCATTAATACCTGCCCAAAACAAACTCAAAGCTCGCACTATTTTGTCCTTCTTGATCACCTTTGTCATCACCAACATCATTATTCCTCTTCAACTCTTAGCCTCAATTAGCTCTGTTCTGGGTGTCTTACTCTCCTCTTTCTGAATTCAAATATGCATCAACCTTAAAAATGAGAACTTACCACAACTCCACAAATCATTCCTGAAAAAAACAACATATTTCTTCTTGGCATCTTCCCAATACTCTGTCTATTCACCTCTGTCTAGGCTGGGAGTCAGGATGTTCTGACTGATTTCTTGTGCTCCCCCTGGTGTCTGCCATCAGGCTCGGACTGCTGACTTTTGAAGAAAAGCTTTTATATTTTGTGTCTGGCCTAGCCTCAGGGCTAAGGTTTCCAGTGTCTTGGATATGTAAGTTATCAAGGATATGCACTACTTTGGAAAAGTTGATCTCCTGTAGCGTTTCAAGCTGGCTATTCACACACCAAAGCACAATGCAGTCACTAATCTCTCTCAAAAATGTAGATCTCGGTTATTTTTAGCTCAGAATTGTTAAGAACAAAATGCAGTGTCTTTATGCTATGTCAGCAGTGCAGACCACCCACAAACTCAGTCTAGGAAAAAAAAATCCATCCAAAGCTGCAAAGATCTAAGGAAGATGAAGCTTGACAGATTGCTTTCAATAATTCAGAGACATTGCATTTTCAGGACTGTTTTAACCATTTCTCTAGGAAAGTATCAGAATATTGAATAACAAACACCAACTAACTGTATGAAAACCAAAGGTTATTTAGCTTTTTTAATGACATTTCCAGCTAGTTCTGGAAATGCTTATGCTCAAGGTAGAGTTAGCAGTAAATTCCTTACAGAATATGTTTGAACTTCTACACTAAGTAGCAAACTGCCCCTCAGCATCATACATAGGAAAGATCCAAATCAGGCATTTGGAGCAAAAATTAAATTAATTAAGAATAACTCTCAAAATAGCCAACACATGTCCTGGTCCAGCCCTGCTTTTGTTAAAACTGTTTGCAAGCAAAGTATCTCCTGGAAATAGATATGTGGGCTCAGAGAAGGGAGAGCAGAAGCAGAATAAGTAGCAACTCACTTGCTATGCAGTCCTTTCTTTAAATACTGGCAGTTATGGTTAAACAATATTACTACTACAGAAATATCAGATCAAACAATCTCTCTGGATGTGATGATGATACCCAACAACAGCTTCAAAAACTAACTAGAATTCTTGTGATAAAGACTTTATTAAAATGTCATTTTAAAAGCTCCAACAATTTAAATAACCTAAAATATAATTAAAACCCTCCACCAATCTAAATCAAAGATGGTGGGGAAGGGGCTGGCAAACAATCCTTTCAGGCTAGACCCCCACTCCAGGCTTACTTCAGACCTCCCTGCCTTTCCTCCCCAGCAGCATCCCACCACCACTCTCCCATCTCCCACTCACCACACCCCAGTCAGCAGGGATGACACCTGAGTGCACACTCTGAGGAGATCTTACCCGTGTGGGTAGTCAGGCAGCAGCTGTGAGCATCATTATCCCAGGGGTCTGTGTGAAACCAGCAGCAGAAGCCTCAAAATGTTAAAGGGGTGTTTGCTTTCCTGAGAAAAGAGGAGACACCAGACCTGGTGAGTGAAGTATGAGGAAAAAAAAGGAAAGGTCAAAGGTAGCAGGCAGCCACATATGTTCAACAAAACTCCTTTCAACTCAGCCAAATTCTAAGGAATCCCCTATGCTTCCCCTATGCACCTGCTTTTGGTCCTTGCTTAAGAAAATATCTCTTTGGTGGGTAGCTCTTGTTCCCTTTCTTAGAAGCTGGGGAAAAGCTCCATCTTCTCAGGAGGCCAAGGTACAAAGGGTGCTTCTGGAAATCACAGCTGGCATCCACTTCTCACACTTGAGGCTCATGAGAAGAGACCTCAACAGACCCAAGAGCAGCAGAGGGCAAGAGAGACGGGATCAAATGTACCATCCCATTGACTCATGCTAACACACACACTGTGAGAAGAGATGCACTGCCCTGTATAGAATGTCTTTTTGTGGAACAGCCAAGATTTTAGCATCTACATTAAGATGAATTCTATTTTCATTACTGATACCATATTACCAAAATAAAAGAGACCCTTACGAGTTCCTTGGTATAACATTTTTCTGTCTTATTAGCTCTGTAGGGCAAACTCCTTGGTATGCACCTACACCTTCCTGCACTGCCTTTTACATAACCATTCCACACAACTAAGTCACCCAACAATGAATCATAAACTGCTGTTTTCTTATGGGGGTCAGCCAGAAAGAACAGATAAGAAACTAATGGGGGAGCCATTTCATCTTCATTTGAGACCCAAACATTTTTCTAAGAACCAGATGCTGCGTAAAGGCAGCTTCACTACAGCCTTTACTCTTCTTTCACACTTGGTGCCAGTCAAGCAATTTCAGCATGCCTGGGCATGTGCTTCCAGTCTCCTCCCTTCCCTCTCTCTCTCTCTCTGAAGAGGGGATTGATTGCCTGTGGGTCTTGCGAGGGTCTGACCTTGCAGGGGTGAAAGGAGGGTACAATGCAGAAAGGCATTCTGTCTCCTCCTCGGGAAAGCCGAGTCCCAGCGCACGCTGGGGTATTTAAAGATCTCGATGCCTGCAAGCCCCACACAGTGCGTACAGCATGAAGCGGCGCTCTGGCCTTGACTCAAGAGAGGTCCAGTCCAGTCCTGGTCACTGATGCCTTTGAACACAGCACCACCTTCCAGGCTGGCAGTGCATCCCTGGGGAGCTTTGCTTTTTGGGCACGACACTCATGGCGGCCCTCTCTGCGTGACTCCACGCGCATGAGGGCCAGGCTCATGCACTCCCTGCGGGCTGCCCGCACCCTCCTCTCCTCTCCTCACACCGCTCCGGGCAGGCTCTCAGCCCTCAGCCGCTGCCTCTCGCCCGCACGGAACGCTTAACACCGCTTGAAGCGCTCCTGCCGGCTCCCCATCTTCCCTCCGGTGCCTCCCGGGAGCTATAAATACAGCGGGCACATGCTGTGACACCGCGTTCCCCAGCAGGCACCAGATAACTTTAATTTGCCCTTTAAACGTCCCGGGCGCCGCGTCCCTCGCGGCCGCCGCTCGGGGGAACATGGCGGGGCGGGCCCGGCGGGCCGCAGCCAATGCCCGCGGCCCGGGGGGGCGCCTCCTCCTATCGCGAGAGGCCGCGGGCTATAAGCGGGGCGGCGCGGGCCGCGGTGACATTTGTCCGGCGGGGTGGGGAAGTGTCCGCTCGTTGCCTCTCTCCGGGCGGGGCTGTCGGACCGGCTCGCGGCATGGGTGACCAAGCGCTCAGCTTCGTCAAGGACTTTCTGGCCGGCGGGATCGCCGCCGCCGTCTCCAAGACGGCTGTCGCCCCCATCGAGAGAGTGAAGTTGCTGCTGCAGGTGAGGGGGCGACGGGGGGCGGCGGTGCCGCGCCACAGGTGGTGCCGGCTCGGCGGGCGCTGCCCGGCGTGACTAAATATGGGAAGGAGTTCGGCCGGCTCCGGTTACGCGGGAGCTGCCCGGGACATTGAGCACCGCCTGGCGGTGCCGGGAGCTGGGCCGGCCCCGTCCGTGCCCTTCAGCATGCGGGGTCACCCTGCGGTGCCCGTCTCTCACCGTGCCGCCCTCCTCCTTCCTCCCTGCAGGTCCAGCATGCCAGCAAACAGATCACGGCCGATAAGCAGTACAAGGGCATCGTGGACTGCATAGTCCGCATCCCCAAGGAGCAGGGCATCGCCTCCTTCTGGAGAGGCAACTTGGCCAATGTCATCCGGTACTTCCCCACCCAGGCCCTTAACTTCGCCTTCAAGGACAAGTACAAGCAGATCTTCCTGGGCGGAGTGGACAAGCACAAGCAGTTCTGGCGCTACTTCGCAGGAAACCTTGCGTCTGGGGGTGCCGCGGGAGCCACCTCCCTCTGCTTCGTCTACCCGCTGGATTTTGCCAGGACCCGGCTGGCGGCTGATGTGGGCAAAGGAGCCACTGAGAGGGAGTTCTCTGGCCTGGGCGACTGCATTGTCAAGATCTTTAAGTCTGATGGCTTGAAGGGCTTGTACCAAGGATTTAGTGTGTCTGTCCAGGGCATCATCATCTACAGAGCAGCCTATTTTGGGGTATACGATACGGCCAAGGGTAAGAAGTGCATGGAGGAGTGACTGCAAGGGAAGATCCATTCAGTAAAGGCACTCTAGGGCACTTGGCAATACAAGGACAAGCAGGCCTTGGCTCAGCACCAGTTGAGTGCAGAGCTAGAAATGTGCACAGGTGTTTCTGACGTGCATTCCTGCCTCCCTCTACTTTCTGCTCTGAATTGCCTTGGGTTTGGATTGACTCTGGGGTTGGTGGGTGCTTATTCCTTCTACAGCCATGCTTCCCACAGCCCTTTCCCTCTGTACTGATTCTGTTCATTTGTTCTTGATGACAGGTATGTTGCCTGATCCAAAGAATGTGCACATCATAGTGAGCTGGATGATTGCCCAGAGTGTCACTGCAGTGGCAGGGCTGGTTTCTTATCCTTTTGATACTGTGCGACGTAGGATGATGATGCAGTCTGGCCGAAAGGGAGGTAAGAATAAGTGGTTTTGGCTTCAGAAAGTTTTTCTTCATCAGGATAAGATAAGATACTGGGTGTTTTTTTGTCTTAAGGAAAATTGATAACCTTCTTATTGGAGTCTTTTAAAAAATCTATGGGGAACACATTGCTGGTTATTTCTATCATGTTGATCTAAAGGACTGAGAAATTACTTGATTTCCTATGGAGAATTAATTTTCCTTAATTGATTACTAAATTTTAAATCCTTGCTGTACTTCGCTTATTCCTTGTTGTTTTAAAGATACAACAGTTGAAACATACTTGCTGTATAACTTCAAGCCTTCTAACCTTTATGTTTGTTTCCACAGCTGATATTATGTACAAGGGCACAATTGATTGCTGGAGGAAGATAGCTAAAGACGAAGGATCCAAAGCGTTCTTCAAGGGTGCCTGGTCGAATGTGTTGAGAGGCATGGGCGGAGCTTTTGTATTAGTACTTTATGATGAAATCAAGAAGTATGTCTAAGACATAACATCATAATGCAGTAGTTCAATTGTTCTCAATCAACTTTTTTAAATATACGAACTTGTGATGTAATGGACAACAAAATATTTCCTAGGGAAACAGAATAAAATTTGAGTAACGTACGTGGCAGAGATAAGGACACATTAATTTAAAAATTGTCCACAACATCACAGTTACATTTTCTATGAGAATTCCTCCACCATTTGTTTTGGAACCTGTGTATATATTATACTTCAAATTGCAGATAATAGATTTTGTCTAAAGACAAAATATAAGTGATCTATACCTAGTCTAAAATCTAATATTGTGAATTCTTAATAGATTGTCAGAAATATTTATTAAGTAATGTCTCTAGCTACCCAGCACTGTGATGACATGACTTAAAATCATGTTTTCTTCTAAAGCTCTATTTTTTAATACATTAAGTGAAAAGTATGTCTGAAATCATAAACTATACTAAAGCACTAGGCTGAGTTCCTAACTGTAGCCTCTTCCCTGACAAGCTGTACAGTAATATGCTTGAAACCATAATCTGATTTTTCAGACATACTTTGTAAAATATGGAAATACAGTGTTTCAAAAATTCCCTGTATTGTCACAAAGGAAAAAGTTGTCTGCTCTGATGTTCAATTGAACTGAAACTGAAATGAAATAAATTAATATATTAATGAATTATTTCCTGTTGTTTTCAGTACACTGAGCACATTACAAGCACGTCCTCCAAGGTGATGTGTTAATCAGGACACTGTTAGTGGCTGTCTCTTGAAAGTTTTTTTAATAGAGCTTTAGGTAGGTGAAGTTATTGAGGTTATTAATAATTCTACAACTGCAAAACCAAGTGGATTCAGTTTAAGGGTACTGCAGCCAGAGATCTGAGAGATAAGCTTCCACCTAGCTTCAGCTGCTTGTATAATTTGTTTATAATACCCTTAACTTTGAAGCATCTCATTGAATAGTGAAGTCATTACTGCTTAATTTACTTGAAAAATTTGTTTAGAATTGAATACTCAAGAATTATTAAAATAACTACACGTTGAACCATTATGAACACATTGCACTATTAATTAGCAGTGAGATCAGAACATGCTTAATACACTTTTTAAACTTTAGATGCTGCAGGGTTGTGAATGCATGGAAGAACAGACTGTCTGATTAGGCAGAGGAGGGAAAGTGAGGTGTGGCCATTGCAGTTGTTCAGTTAGACTACATATAGACAAGCATTTGTATCCAACTAGGACAAAAAACTCAGAATCAGAGCATAGTTTGTGTTGGAAGAGACCTTAGAGTCCATCTAGATCCAACACCCTTGCCATGTGCAGGGATGCTGTCTACTAGGCTCAGTTCCTGGCCTTGGACACTTCCATTGTTGGGGTGTCCACAACTTCTCTGGGCAACGGGGTAAGACTAAGCAAGTAATGTCAAATAAACTTTCATCTCACCTTCATCTTTTACTGCTTTGTATATATAGCTTCCAGTTATCCTTTTCCTATTTGAAACCGTTGTCAGATGCAGCTGAGTCCTAGCTCACTGTCACTTGGCATGAGAGGCTCTGGTTGTCTGCCACAGATTCAGACCAGCAGCTCTGTTCGCCTTGAAGGCAGGTACCAGCCACTAACCAGTGTCTGGAAGTAACATCTATCCACTTGAAAAAAAGAAGCATTTGGGAAATACTGGTCCAAAAAATGACAGACTGTTTTTAAATTAACGAAATACAGATTTTTATTTTTTTTTTTGTCCCAGGACAAAACCTGGCCTGATAGTTTCAGCTTCCTTTTTCATGGTTGCTCTCTTAAATACTTGCTTTTCTAGATACCTGGTCTATTTTCTTTCCCATAGTAAATAACCAAGGTTATTTGCAATCTATCAAACCGTAAATTTAAGAAGA